AAGCATAATGTCGCAATTAGAAAAACATGACGGACTTGCTTTTAAAAGCGAAGCTGCCCCAGCTGTAAACCTTTTAAAATCTGTAGAAACCATCCATTTAGATTTTTTATTAGTGCTTTTTAAAGAATTTTGTAGAATACAGCTAGCTGGTGTTCACAAAAATGCTTATGTCTTAAGATAAATTGATACAAGTCATTGTGCAAAAGTTAGAGAACCTATGTTCAATAGTTGAGGAGATATAATTTGACAATAAGTTGCGCCACGAATTTTAGACCACACAATAGGACGGGTTTCCATTCAATGGCATCCATTACAACAAATTTCACAAAACCCTTTTTAAAATATCGTATGCCAAAAAATACATTCTAAAAACATCACCAAAACCGGAAAACGAGATCTGATTCTTTGGGGACTGTGATGATGCCGCAAAGATAAAGAAGGCAGCACATTATCGTTGACCGTCAACAACAGCACTACAGACAACAAAAACGTATACCAAAAAAAACAATCAAACTGAGGCACCAAGCCGCCCGAGGAAGAGAAAACAATCCCATACTCAGGAAAACACAGGGCTACAATAAACAATTAAACACCCATCACATTTTTTCAAAGTTAAGTTATTTGTAAGACGGTCAGACATCATCCGGCACGTAGAGAGGCCGGACGGCACCTCAGCAAAAACACTGATAGACGCTGCAAACACTATATCTGAGGCAGCGTGGTGGAATCAGGCTCTCGTCAATTTTGGGGCATGTAGAGTTATTGGTATCATCTTAAAGCTTGCTCATTTGTCTTTATTTGAATCAAAGAAATATCCATTTGTCTTGAATACAAGTCGAGATATTTGCGAAAGAAGGAGGTGGGGGTCACCTGTTTTCAGAGGTAAAATTAGTGAGAAAATGGCCGCCTAAGATTAGTTATTTCTTTAGCTTAAGAGTCCGTGGTAACTGAAAATTTACATTTTTTTGCCTTTAATCAACGTTTTTCAGAAAAATCCACACAGAGATTAGTTCTTTAATGGGCATGAAAGGTGTTGAGCCAAAAAACAAAAATTTGAGAAAAATTCTCAAATCTGCGGAAAAAATGCAAGTTTCTTCACTTTGATTATTTTGACGAGAGCCTGATTCCACCACGCTGCCTCACATATGTAGTTACATTTCGATCTCAAAACTGTTCCAAAACAAACTACAACAGCACCTTCCAAAACATCAAAACCATTGGGGAACAACAACCCCTAGACTTCAACTCAAACAACAGAGAAACTTACAACGACAGACCAAACATTAGAAGAATGCACATCATGCATATCAGATCTGGACAGTTCAGCCATTCGATGACATACACAGCCGAATCATCAGAAACCTAACCACAGAAACACTCACTCTTCTGTTAGAACGGCATGTGGCAATCGCTCACTTTTCAAGTTCCCAGAGTCCTGGCGACCTGAAAGTGTCATTGCCATTCTAAAACAAGACAATTACCTCACACACACTTATAGTGCGTTCAAAAATTCGTAGTGCAACTTATCCTCAAATATCTCTTTAACGGGTGAATCAATGTCATCTACACTTTGCATAGCAATTTGTATCAATTTGTCTTAACTAAATCATATTTTTCTAGAACAATTGGGGCTAGATTAAAAAACGTTTCTTTACAAATTTATATAAAATACTTGAAAGCTCTGTCACACGTAAAATGGTTCACAGCAATTCACGCTCCTCACACACATTTTGATTACGCATATGGCCTACGTCACAGCTCATCAATGACAATTTTGAATAGCAAAACTTGAAACAAGAAGTTATTGCTATAGTGAACATATTTTTGCAGTAATGGCCAGATTAGAAAAACCTGACGCACTTGCTATCAAATGCAATAATATTGCCTAAGCTGTAAACATTTTAAAATCTGTAGAAACCACCCACTTGGATTTTTATTAGTATTTATTAAGGAGTTTTTTTAGAATACAGCTTGCAGGTGTTTACAAAAATGTTGATCTGTTAAGACAAATGGATACAAGCCACTGTGCAGAAATTGGAGAACCTATATTCGATAGCTAAGGAGATATTTGAAAATAAGTCGCACCACGAATTTTTGACCGCACTATAGAATCCATCCAGTCACAGACCAGTCGCCTTAACGAGCTATGCTAGCTTGCAATAAACAAAAATTTTAATGATTAACAGGCGACTCATGTTGTTTCTCAAGACAACAGGCTCGCTAAGCGGTCTCCAGTGCGGATTCAGGAAAACTCTATCTACTCTGGATCACCTTGTCCGCCTGGAGAATTTTATACACAAGACCTTTACCAAAAGAGGCCGCATGATCGCCAATATTTTCGAGCAAGAAAAGGCTTTCGACACAACCTGGATGTACAGTGTCCTTCGAGGCCAGCACGCTCCCGGTCTATGAGGTCTTCCCCCTGCCTTCAATGGCAACTTTTAACAAAACCGTTTCATCCAGGTTCGTGCCGGATCTTTCTTTTCCGATCCTCACCTGCAACAGGAGGACGTTCACCAGTAAAGCATCTTTTGTCTTCTCCTCTTTGAAATAAAAATAAGCTCCATCATTTAGGCCCTCCAAATCAACACAGACAGCTCGTTACACGTAGACAACTTTCTGACATTCTGCCAATCCCTAAAGGTTCAAGTAAGATCTATGAAAAGACAGCTCCAAAGGCAGCTGTTTAAGCTTGAAAAGCCAACTATGAATGTTTTCAGGTTTTCCTTGTCAAAGATGGTTTCAGTGCACTTCTGAAAATCGGCCAGACGTGTTCTAAAACAAGACTTGGCATTACACGAGGAAAGTGTTCCCGCCCAGGAACAAGCTAGTTTCCTTGGAATCATTTTTGACAAAGAACTAATTTGTTTTCCTCATATTTTAAACCTCGGTGTTTGGCGCCAAAAGCCTTAAATGTTTAAACAATATTCTGTTTCATCCGGAGTGATGCCATGACTCCAAACTCCTCCTCCAGGTATACTGTTCTCTTGTCAGTTGCGAGCTTGAACACCCCTGTAAGACCGCATGTTCTAAACATGCTAGACCCCATAGAGAACCACACACAAAAATAGTCGGGTCTCTCCAGAAGAGACGTTATTTTAACAGAATTACGTATTGGACACATCTCCCTGACATATAAATGCCTCATGGAAGAAGAGAAAAACCCATTTTGTATCGGATGCGACACCGACTTTACGGTCAGGCACTCCCTCATGGAATGTCTGGAGATTAGTAGGACCCGAGGAGAACACTTATTAGATGCACCTATGTAATTTTTTCTCCATCGTCGATCCCAACAAAATTCTTGATTTTTAAAAAGACTATTATTGTTTACTCTAAATTGTCGAGAACTGTTTTAAACGTCATGTGAACGACTGATTTTACAACTGAAGGTTTACCGTGAAATTAACCTCAACCACTCCGACTTTACAAAGAGAAGAGTTTTTATTGATTCGTTGGTCTCAGCAGAATTCTCGTTTTGTATTTGTAAACTTACTCTAAATTGTAGACAGTAGGCCTACCTTTTTAATAACTTGAATGACTGTTTTCAGTATTGAATTTTTACCGTAAATGTTCTTCCACCAAGACGTACTTTGAACGAAAGTAAAAACAACCAACTTGAGTCCCGAGCACTGGTAGGGCCTTATGCATTTACGTCCCCATCGATACATGTACAAGTGAGATCATAATTTAGGAGTAGGTTTTGACATTGCCAGTTTGGAACAACCCCGGTCGAGAGATAGTCAATGTCCTACAATGTAGCAGAAAAACCGAGATACTTTAGCAATTTTCTTCCCCCTTAGGCTTTGATTTGAATCGGGTGTTCAGTGAGTGACGGTGAATCTTCTAACGACACCATAGGCACTGGTTCCAGCTTGTGGGAAAATGTGTGTTCCGTGTGTGTCCATGAGCGAATGTGTGGACATTACCGTGCTTGTCTATCAGGTTTATGGAGAGAGCATCAACAAAATGGAAGGATAATATAATCTTGCCTGTGTTTTGTTATGTGTGTTGGTTCTATAGGTTTTTGTCCGTGATTTTTTTTTATAAAAAGAAAGAAGGGGGTAGATGAGTGATTGGAAGGACCAATTTGAAATAAATCATATGATAATACGTTCTTTCTTGGTTCTCGGACATTTTCTGAAACACTATTTCTAACTGTTTAGTCTTTTTGAGAAAAGGTTAGATCTACAGACAGTAGGCTAATCGTCACCAGAAGAGCGATCATTACGTATCGATGTTTCTTTGTGTAACCGAACACAAGCGAGATAAACTAAACCAATTGAAATACTTTAGTAGGTTTTATGACTAGATCCCACTACAGACATTGTGCTTTCTTGTAAGTATCTTTGGAATTGTGTCAAGGTTTGGTTGAGCGGAACAGAAAACATCTGTAATGACAAATTAAAATTACATTTTTTAGGTTGGAAAATCGCTCCCTTTTTGTCTACCAGAGGCTCCAATAATTCTGAACTTTACGGACTCTTTGGAAACGGATTCGCGGGAGAGAAGTCTCCTGATATCCCGGCTTCCAGATTTATCCGAAAAATTGCACAATTATGTGTCACAATTACCTCAATTAGCACACATGCTGGGCAAACAGCCTAGTCAAACACGATTGGTGGAAATGCTCTTTTCAACTTGAACAGTGCAAAATCAGTCTGTAATTAACAACAATAATAGTGCTAGCAGACACCTATAGCAATTTTCTATACTGACTGGTGTAAAAGTATTATTCATTGTGGATTGAGCTCGATTCATAGAGCAGCATCAATGTGTTAATGATATGCTCATTATTCTGTGGTCTATATTTGCGAGTCATTTTAAAAATAAGTAGTCGATCCTCCTCTCAGGATTGGCTCGGATTCTAAAATCTTGTCTTCACGCCTAGAACACCGTGACAAGTCTTGTATTTGATCCCAAATTAAGATTGAACATAACGAAACACAGAAACAGCTTCGGTCTCTTTCTGTTTTTGTGAAATGAGCTCTCTGGTCGTTATGTCAGTCCACAACATGAGCTCTCTAGCCGTGACGTCAGTAGACAACGTCTCATGTTGTTTCCCAGGTGTCGTGGGAGGTCAGAGGTCAGGGTTAATCAGTGACGCTGTGTCGGCCATAGTCACGGATCTCGTTCTCAAGGTTGTCGTTCAGTTCGTACTGGGCGTCTTCTGCATTGTTGCCAACATCGTCAACATGATTGTCTTCATCAAGATCGGCTTGGATGACAGTATAACCGTTGCGTTTTTCGCCCTGTCCATCTCAGATTTAATGTTTGTAGGGATCTATTTAGTGGTCAGCATCCTATCCATGTTGTATAACGTGGTCAAGCTGCGGCAGTACGTTCATTTCCCTTCTATTGCATTCCAGCTCGTCTGGTACAGCGACGCCTTCTTCGATGCCTCAATGCTGATCACTGTTTTCCTCTCAGTACAGAAGTGCGCATGCGTAGCTATCCCCTTGTTGTTCAAAAACGTCTTCACGAGATCCCGAAGCGCCGTGGTGGTAGTGGTCATTTACGTGGGAACCTTCACTTGGTATATGCCTCTTCTCAGCCAGCAAGGAATGGGGGAAAGGTTCGACCCACGGAAAAACACGACCACCTTAATGTACAAAGCACCACCACACTTTCCTCTCATGCTGCAATTGTACAATTCTGTAAGCCGGAGCGTGCTACCAGGAGTTTCTCTTTCTCTGATTATCATTTCTGTCATCGTCCTCACCATCAAACTCAAACAAGCTAGCAGGTTCCGACAGGCTTCCGCCTCCCATAACAACAAGGACAACAACAAAAACTCAGACTCATCTTCCACGAAACAAAACCCCAGCTCCAGCAAAGAGCTTCAGGTCATCAAGGCCGTGACCTATATTTCTGCCATCTTTGTAGTCTGTTATATTCCAAACATCATTGTCTCTTGCTGCCAAATCGTTTTTCCAGAATTGTCCGACAAAGGGCGATACAGAAACATAAGGACTCTTGTGGATGAAATACACAGCGTTATGACAACAGTCAACTCTTCCGTGAACATCTTCATATATTTCACTTTTAACACTCGCTACAGGGAGAAGCTGGTCAGTCTGTTTTCCCAGTTCCGTAGATCTAGGAGCCGATAGAAAATAAACGACAATAAATGAGAAGAAGGAAAGTACTTAAATGTTTGATTAAGGAATTATGTAACTGTTTAACGTCCTCCTTTTAGGCAGAAAGCTACATTATTATTTTTTTATTTTTTTTTACAATTTAAATAAAAAGGGGTTGTATTTCTTTTTTCGGGTAGGGAGAGGGGTTATTTTGTTTTAGTTTTAGACTTTTATTATTTGTAACTTTTTATTCATATTTTATTATTTTAATGGAAAGGGTGGGGGGGGGGGGGGGGGTTATTAAAACAACTGAATCTTCCTTTGAAAACAAATCCAGACCCTCCTGTGATAGGAGTAGAAACAATGATTTTTATTATAATGTACGAGATTAAATTATTACGGTGAGTTTTTTGCACCTTCATCATAGGCTACTCCTTCCCAGCTTGCATTCTCATAAGTATCTCCCATTCTCATATAAACACGCTCTACACTTGGGATATGTGACACCAACGGTATTAAAACAATAAAACTTTTGCATTTGTTCATAATTTTCTTTGCTAATGTTGTGTCAAAGAGAACGCTACTGCACTTGTACGGTGTCCGAAAATGAATACAGATGTCGAAGGAATACTGTGCACTGATGCTGATACCGTAAGGAAGTGAGACAAGGCTGTGTCCTCTCTCCCTATGTTTTAAAACATTTACACATAGATTATTTTTCATTGATTCATAAGACATTAAAACATTAAAGTCTATGTAGTGAGTCATTAATGGGGGTCGCAATTTCAATAACCAGAAATAAACGAATGATACAGTTTTGCTTACAAATACGAACGGAAATCTTTCCCAAATTGTGAAAGTAGTAAAAGAGAACAGCAATAAGACAGACCTCAAAGTGAACGCCAAGAAAACAAAAACAATGGTATTATCAAAATCAACTGGCAAAACAGTGGAGAGAATTCAACGCATATAACTGTTCACATGTTTAGGGCCAGCAAACACAGATGATGACAGGAATGATAAAAGGAATAACAACAACATATTGCTACTGTAGTATTACAACGTTCTAACATTTTTGGCCATTTCGAGTTACTAGGCTAATAAGGTAAGAAACAAAATGTAATGTCTGCTTTATTAAAATCATGGGAATATTCGAAGCCGTTAGCAAGATATTCAAAGAACTGCTTTCGAAAAAGCGTGACATGTTGTGAAACTCAAATTTTTTTTACGTTTAATTTACCATAACTAGGTAATGGACAGACAGACTTTTGTAATTCTAAGGTTGTGAAATGCTAAAGCAAGATTCAGCCAAATGTACAAACTACATGGTATATACAATCAGGCAACTATCTCTATCTTTAAGTAAGAAAATAATTTTCATGGCACCAAAACCTGGGCTTCAACAAAGAAAGAAGAAAACAAAATATCTGTGTTTGAGATGGAGATGTGATGCTTCCGCGAAATGGCCAGAATTATCTAAAAAAAAAACCCCAAAAAACATACTAAAACCGTAGTGTATCAAATTCTCCAGACAAGACAACCCCTGTTTTACCAAATGAAAAGTATAAAAATACGAAAGCATCCTTTTGGTAATATAAAACGCAATCAGACCATTGTGAAGGAGATACTCGAAGGCAAGATGTGGGGGCAAAAAGGCTAAGGGTGGGGGAAGGGGTGGGGCGACTTGGACGGATATCGTCAAGACATGGACTGGTCTAATTATGACAGAGTGTATAACAACAGATAGCGACATTGAGTATGTCTGCTGGTGGGTCATTACACGCCAGCCTCTGACCCAGAGCTGATATCTTTTTTAGTTTTAGTAAGAGTTTCACGGCATTCGCAACTGCATAAGGTCATATGAGCGCCAGAAGATTAGAGGTGTTACAGCAGAAAAACAAACATAAAAAAGAAGAAGGGGAGATAAGGACGATAGATGTTTGATAGGAAAGAAGGAGCTGATATCTCCAGTTGTCCAGGAAATGTTGATGCTAAGGCCAAAAAGGCTACTTAGAGAACTCGAACAGGTGGGTGACAAGGAAAGACCAGGATGCGCGAAGATTTCGGAGAGTATCCGAGCACTAAAATGATTGTCGAGCCGTCGTTGCCAACGTCTGTTTCAGATCTGGCCTATTTCGACGATTGTTGAGGTGAAAATCTTTTGTAGAAAAAAAGAATAGAATGTGTGTGCAGTGGCGGTGGGTGGACCAGCATTTCGGTGGGGCTTAGGTTGCTTCCACTGCTTTTCCACCAAATAGCAAGCAAAAAGAACAAATAATAGATTATTTTTCTATACTCACGGCGAGCCACGCATTTTGAGAACCATTCAAACGAGAATAGTCACCTATGTCTTCCTTCTCTTTGTTCTACGCTAAATTCTTCTGTATGGTGGGGACGAAACCGTTTCACTTCCACATTTACTTTAATTAATGTTCATCTGATGAAAAAGTTGCCTCAAAAGTGGTTTGACGCAATTAGTAGCTGTTAAATCCCAGCGGCACACACACAAACATGCCTACACAGCACTCCAAACATACCGTATAATATGAGCTGGGTTAGGCCGTGTAGTCGAGGAAAGTAAAACGCACCTAACAAAGGTTCAACAGGTGCACAGGTAACTGTGTCACAGGGGGAAAGTGTGTCTTAAACTGTCATCCCATTGTTAGGGCTAGGAGAGCGTGAGCCCTCTGTGCAGTGTTGTTGTTTTTTGTTTTTTTCAAGTCTTCTACCTTTTTACAAGAGGGGTTTAATTAAGGAATTGCTGTGAGAACGGGTTCGTTCTTTGCTGAGCCCAAAAGACATTAAATTGGCTGTTAGGTTACTATAGTTGTAAGCCGCGTCAACAGTCATTGAATGAACGAGCAACCCGCCGAGTTGTATTATCTAACTTCACAAATCGAAGTCAACACTCTATACCAATAATATACAAGACACATAATGTCATATTAGAATAAAGGGTGAAATATCATGTAGTACAAACTAAAAAGATGGAAACTGAAATTCCAACGTCTCACGTTCGATCATTATAAAAGTCATGCACATCAATACATACACAAACTCACATCTATTCACACAGACACACTCACATTCTGACAGCTGCCATGAGGCGTTAAAGTGACACTCAGGTTTTCTTAGTCTGAATCAGAATCTGAATTTCTAACAGCTGATGTTGGAACAGCCATCATGTCACGGTAACGCCCTGTGACAGCATTACTTGCACCCGTATTGTACTAAACCTGTATTACCAACCAACATGACCATTGACGGTCTCCCTTAAATTTGACAGTACTTGTCTCCTCCAACACAGGCGGTCTAAAGTTGGACCACGATCTTCCCAGTTTCAAAACGCCATGGAGGTGAAGGTCCCCATGGTATGAATAGGAAGCTTTTACCTTATCCCAACTTCCATCAATAATTATTCTTTTAACGGTAGAAGCACTAAATTCCCTTTTCTGCTTCACAAAACGCCGTGTCTCAGATTTAAAAATGGAAGCCTGCCAGTCTCTCCCGTATTCAAAGACCTGGCCATGCCTTCTAAGAATGTCAATATACTGGTCAGGCAGTGTAATTGTCTCAAAAATTTTTACATCCTGGGCTACTTTCCCGAAGGCACGATCAGTTGGGAGGTACCTGTGACCCCGCACTGTGAATGTGTATGTAATATCCGCTTGAGGGGAACGTTTTTTTTCCTGTCCGCCAGGAGCATAGACAATACGTTGACATTCTTATTCTGTCACTAAATAATCGAAGATCACGCTTGGATTTAATTTACTGCCGACGAAAGTAAAACAATGATGGAGTGCTGAGGCGATTATATAAGAATCTTTGTGGTTCTCACACTCCAGCCACCGAAAAAAAACCCCCACACCATCTTTCTGCTGAGGGCTGTTTCGACCCCTGTGGCAAATGACCCCAAAGATGTAAGGGTATAGCTGCCGATTGTAGTACGCAGCACCAATGGGGGGTCTTCGGAAGCACCTGGTTCTCCATCACATCAAAACAAGTTAATTGACATAGAGTCCTCGCTTACGGCATTCAGTTCATTATAGAATGTGAGCTCTTCTGCAATGCAGAATATACTCTGCAGCCAACTCAGTTCTTTGCTCAGTCGGAAGATCTGCCTGTTTCTCTTGTTCCTTATACCGCTCGCATGTAGCGCACCTGTCCCTGTTGGGTTGGCGAAAACCAAGATTGGAGTCCCCCCATGGAGACAGTGTAGTACAGGGAATGGGAGACCTGCAAAAGAAAATGAAAAAATAATCTTTTTTTTTAAAACTCAGAACCAGGACTTTCAAATCAAATCACTAGTGTCCTTTCAGCGAAGTGAAGCCACTGAGGAGGAACGTTGTGTTACAATAAAGCCGTGTCTTGAGAGTTTGTGTATGTCTGGTTTTTGTCAGCCTGAAGAGCGAAAAATAAACCTTATTAAAAATTTTTTAAATTGTAATGCTTTTTTCTCTGCCTGAACAAGAGACCTGCAGTGGCGGTGGGTAGTGAAGGGCTTACGGGCTTGAAACCCTCACCCCTACCCCTTCTCCACCCCAACTCTATCCCTTAGTTAATGAAAGTTTCTTAGATACCGAAATAAGCAGTTGAATCAACTTGAAACCGTTATGATCGCACGCAATGAACACACAGTTATCAGCTTGGCGGCTTGCCCGTTTATCCAATCATTGTTGTCAACGCTTACAACTATAATAACCTAACAGCCAATCAAATGTCGTTAGGGCTCAGAAAGAATAAGCCGGTTCCCACGTCCGTCTTTAATGAAACTCTTCTTGTAAAAAGGTAGAAGACTTTTAAAAATAACACTGCACAGAGGGCTCACGCTCTCCCAGCCCTGACAATGGGGTGAAAGTTTACGACACACTTTCCCCCCAGTGACACAGATACCTATGCGCCCAATTGGGCCTTTGTTAGGCGCGTTCTATTTTCCGCAACAACACGACCCAATTCACCTCATAGACGGTATGTGTTTGGAGTGCTGTGTGTTTGTGCCGATGAGATTTAACAGTTATTAATTACATATAACCACTTTTGAGGCAACTTTTTCTTCTGATAAAAACTAATTAGATAAATTTGAAGGTGAAACGGCTTCGTCCCCACCACCCAGAAGAATTTAACGTAGAACAAAGAGATGGAAGACAAATGTGATTCTTCTCGTTTGAATGGTTCTCAAAATGCCGTGGCTCGCCGTGAGTATAGAAAAATCATCACTGTTTTGTTCTTATTGCTTGCTATTTGGTGGTAAAGAAGTGGAAGAGACCTAAGCCCCACCCAAATCTTGGTCCACCCACCGCCATTGGAGACCTGCACATGAAAAAAAGGAATTTTTATTTTAAACAATCAGGAGACTTGAAAAAGGGCAAAAGTAATCTTCATTAAAAATCACCAGGGGTCTATACGAATAGATTAGTCGTTATTTTAAAAAATTCAACAAATCTGAAATTGGAAAAAAAAAACATGTCGTATTGTCATTACATTTTCAAAAATCTTTAAATGTTATGCCTTTGTTACACACATGTCCACGAGAATTTACTCGATAGTGTTTAAAATATCAAAATGAGTCCAATCAAGTCAGTAGCATCCTCTCTGCAAGATGAAGCCCTCATTGTATTTTACCTTTTAAATCCTATTGGTCAATTAATGTCATAATCAAAACAACACCACGATTGTGCCATGTTACTGTGATAATTTACGTAATAAAAACAATGTATGCGTATCAATTCAATATAATTGCCATTAATGTGTCTTGATGGATGTGTGTCTCTTTTTTTTTGTCAGCTTGAAGAGCACACAAAAAAAAATTAGGGGTAAAAATACCTGTTCATGATTTTGTTGCTCGAACATCTTATGCATCTTGAAGACGTCGAGGTCGCTGCAGAGGTATTTTCTTCCTGGGTTGTCTTTGAATGAGTAGTGACTGGACCTGCACTGGAACGACTCAATGTCTTTTCTAATCTTCTCCTTCCTTGCCTTCATTTCTAGCCTGTCTCTTGCTCCTCCCATATTTTCTTTCTTAGGGCACACCCTGGTCAAAGACGGCTTGGGCTATGCTTGACACTCTGTCCTTCTTCACTCATGAAAGAAAAAAAGGAGCATTCCTAAGATTAAATTATATATAGCTTGAACAAGCTTTTCATTTCAAGAGAAAAAAGAAGAGGTGAACCAACTGGGAGCAACAAAGGTACTCAGTCTTGTTAATATCCATTATTACTAGCTGAGTACCCGGCTTTGCTGGTCTACGCCGCGGAGGCATTTTACATCAACATTGCTGACTAGCCTTACACAGTCACTATTAGCTTCTAAATCTATATTGCTTTAGATTAAGTCTGCCTTGATTAAGTCCTCTCTTGATCTACATTGCTTTAGCGTATTGCTGTTTAGCCCTTCACAATCACAAAATACGGGTTTCGCCTT